AAGTAGAATTTAAAATAACTTTAGAATCCCAATTTTCATGCTTCTTCTTTTCTTTTTGCATTACATTCACTTATTTATGTATTTGTGTTTAATATTGAATATGTGGTAATGTTAGAAGAAGTTGAAATATTACATTTCTTGGTTGATCTTTGCCTTATGAGTTATTAATCTTTTCCAGAGATATTCTAGAGATTCCATGAGACGCCATGCAAATACCTTATTTTTTTGTTTTCGGAGTCCACGAGAACAGCATATTTAATTAAAAGTTTCCAGCTGAAGAATTGTGTCCTTAAATAAATTATAGGGTCCCAAATCGTCGTCAATGTCATTCAACTTATATTCTTATTACTTCTCACAAACGATATAGCAGATACATACAGATAGCTAGGCCAAAAATGTTGCAATAAATAGTATGAGGATTGCATCTCCTCCCTCTCCACCAAAAATGTATCAACAACATTTTGTACCAAGTCATCTAGACATTGCAACAATTTGTTTGTTTGTCGAAGAAATTACCTAGCTTGTCTCTTGGCCATATCTGTCGTGTTCTAATAAAATTGTCTTGTGTTTTATTGCTATTTTATGTAAAAGACAAATAGATGTAACATCATTATCTTAAAGAACAACAATCAGTAGTGCAAGCTGGAACATCTGCAATCTATTTGCAACGTGCTTATATAGAATACAACGCAGCTATAGAGTATTCCAAAGCAATATATATATGCAATTATTGTTATTTATTGTCCATGCGAATAGAATTTTGCTATACCTGATAGAAACATAAGACAACAACAATAAAACGCAGTAGGAAGTTATACTATTTAAATGAATTAAAACAGCCAAGATTTTTTGATAAAAAAACCCATAGGAGATAGTTTTTTAGATATAGCAATTTGTATAGAACCGCCGACTTGTTTCGATAGTTATGACAGATATAAGTATTGGAAATTTAGGGTTGGCATATATATATCATCTTCACAACAGATCTTGTGTTAGCAAAAATATTTGGATGTTTAAAGTTTGAAGAGAACCGAAAGCTTATTTCGGATTTTATGGTCGTTTTGGTTATTTAAAAATTTGACCCTTTTTGGGGGGAAGGTACCAGAAGAAGTAAACCGATATATTCCATCTTTACACCAGATCTCGGGTTAATAAAAATATTCGGATTTTTGATTATTTTAAACTTTAACCCTTTGTGGGGGAGGTACCAGAAGAAATGGTCCGATCTGTACCATCTTTATAACATATCTTGTGTTGATGGAAATACTGAGATATACCAAGACTGAATGGAATCGGATGTTAATTTCACGTTTTATAAGCTTCATGGATACTCAAAATTTTGATCATTTGCGGGGGAGTTAGCTGAAGGAGTGAACCGATGTATTCCATATTCACACCAGACCTTGGACCAATAAAAATATTTTGATTTGTGTAATTTGAAGACAATCGAACACTTACATCATAATTTATAAGAGTTATAAACATTTAAAATTTTAACCCTTTGTGGGGCAGGTAATGTATGGAGTGGACCGATATTGTTTATTTTCGCACCTGACCTAGCACTGAAGCAAATATTAGGATTCGCAAGGTTGGAGCAAAATCGGATAATATTTTCTCTTTCTGTGCAGTCAACTATTTTTTTGAAAATGTTGAGATTTAGTGGGGGAGGTACTAGAATGAGTGAACCGATATTGTCCATCTCCGAACTCGATTTAAGTTTGATAATAATATTACGATGTACCAAGTTTAGATCAAATCTGATACTCCCTTAGAGAGGTATCGTGCGCACCAGCCAGACAGACGAATGGACTGACATCGCTAGATCCACTCCAAATGTCCTGAAACGGATTTGGTCCAAAGAGATCTAACTTCAAAAACAGTTATTTCGATGAGGTAGGTTTGGGCCGTATCAAATAATATATACCCTTTTTATCCATATGGCTGAGGGTATAAAAATATGTTATATCCACGATCATAAGGCAATATTTTAAAAAATCCATTATCTATCATCCTATGTAAATAGATATATACATTCTGATAGATTTTTCTATACTTTGCCTATGTGGGATCCCGCTTGAGTATGTTTATCGCCCACCTCTACAGACCACTTTCATATCATCAATTAAAAGACTTCTATTCAGCTCCTCTATTAAATGAATTCAACTTCTGACGAAATACTCGCTTTCAGCTCATTTATATAAAAAGTTTTCCTATTTTAGCTTCGCAAAAAAGTCTCTTAGCTCGTCTGCAAAAATATATCCTGTTCAGTTCATCCATGAAAACCCCTCCTAATCAATATACCAGTCTTTACTTCTTTACTTTATTTGAAGTAAAAGTAATGGATATGACAATTTAAATCCAAATCCAGTGGGTTAACCCTCATATATATAAACGTACTATTAGGTGTATAGTCCTTAAAAAAATAGTTTAGTTGCATAGATTTTTGCTACGGCACTTCTTTTTAAAAATATACAAATTCTAGTCAGACAGAAAGCAATGCTAAATATCCTAGAAATCTATTGGTCAGGTTGGTCTTGAAAAGATATTTTTTTAAAATTTTAAAACTTTAAGTACACTACCTTCTTAAAATAAATAAAAATCTTTTAACGCAAATTTATTTAGTCATCATTTAGATTTATGTATTTCTATATTCTCTTCTGTAATAACATGTTATTAAAAATCACAATTGTGTTGGAATTTGCAATAGAAAGTATTCACCCCTCCTATATTGAAAAGGTAATAGTTCCAAAAGACATAATATTAATCATTAATAATATTAAAACAAATGAAAATAATACAAATTTTTTTTTTTTTTTTGGTGCTTGCCTCTGACATTGCAGTTTTGTCTTTTAAGTTTGGTATACAGAGTATCGTACGTTGAGGACAACTATTAAAGCTTATTGCTTTGGGGCTTTATTCATGAGAAACCACATAACGCCCAGTAAGCAACTGGGTGGGCTATTATTATCGGAGCCTTGTTGTACCATTTTACGGGCTTCTTCTATACTCAATTCAACAACCTCAATTAGTTCGTCATCAACCCCACCGCCACTTGTACTCTTGTCGGCATCGGTGACCTCGCAATAGTACATTTTTTGCTTTGAACCTTGGGAGCCCACACCAGACCTACAAATGGGAATATAATGTAAAGATGAATTAATGAAACGCTTACACACGCATGCATTTGTAGCCAAAGAAAAACACCACCACTTAATTACAATATACTACTCTTACCTGTATGTCATTACTTCTTCCACCCTCTCCACGGGTACATCATAGCCACATTCCTCCAGAACTTCTTCACGGGCAATTTCATTCCAGCTTTTATCTTTATCCACAATGCCAGCACACAATTCCATGGTACATCCCAAGGATGGTGGATATTTCTTTAAATCGACATTATCCACATTACCACCATCAGTGGTCACAATGCCATGGAAGACAGCCGGACGAAATTGTTTGACAAAAATCAACTTCTGCCGCGTCGTATTGTACAAAACAATCGACACACTGTCATGTACTTTCAGCAAATCCCAATTTTTCTCCTTGCCATTCTGGACATAATAGAAGCGAAATGGTTTGACATACGGCGAATCGGCAGGCAAAGGTCCTAACCAAACTTTAGTAATTTGTTCCATATTTGCTAGAAGTTTACGCAAATGCTGTTTGATGTTCCCAATTGTGTGAGGCAAATAAAGACTCCACGTAATAGCACAAGAGCGATAAACTCGATAAACAGCAGGCAAAAAAAACTATATTTGTACTTGAGCAAAAAACCCAACAGTACAATCTACGCAAAAACAACAAAATGTAGTGACTTTTGACTTTGCTCACATAATGTAAACAAAAACAGCTGATCTGTTGCAGTTACTATTTCGATAACGGTTATGTTCTTTATTAGGGGGTTTTATCGATTATTCGTATATTTAACGGTCACACAGGGGAACCTGAAGATAAAATAAAAGTTTGCAAAGGGTGCGCAGACTGAATTGTCGATTTTTGGAGTAAAGAATAGCCAGAAACATTGCAAAAGCCACCAATGCATCCCCAAAAAGTTACAGTTTAGTTCGGTTTATGGGCTGGTGGTTTTATTGGTACTTCATCAAAGATGCTATGAATTGTAACGTAACTGTGAATGATAAGCGTTACCGTGAGATGATATTGACAGTATAGATCGCTATATTCAATTGATGCATTGGAAGGCAACATTGCAAAAACATTCCTGAGACACCGGCCGAAATATTGGAAAGATTATGCCAACATTGGACTATGATGTTGCATGGAATAATCCTCATACATTAAATTGTTTCTACCATGGTACAATGAAGAGAGGGTAGGTCAACTTTGAAAAAATTGCAAGTATAGAGGTCTACCTGTTTGGCTTGTAATGTCAGAATTACTATCAAAACAATAAAAAAGCAAACAACTTGTTGCATTGATTTTGAATAAATAATTTAAAACCGCGAAAACTGAATAAAAGGTCAACATTTCTTTTCAAAATCATGTTCTATATATCTCTTATGGTTTATTTCGCGACAAAAACTGTAGGCTTTGTCGATGCATACGTTGCAATAAGCATTTTAAAAACACCCGAATTTGAATATTTTGTGAACAATTTTTTTATTATTGAAAAGAAGACACACACGTAAGCAAATGAAGTTGACATATTAAACCAGAAAAATAAAAAAATTGAAATCATATGGTAGTTCTGCCCTACCTTGAATTCATTGTACCATGGTTTCTACTACATCCGACCGAATTCAGCCTAGAAGCAAGTACATCAAATTTGGTAAAAATTGGCTCAGAGATAAGTGCATAAAATTTTGTCAAAATCGGTTCGGATTTGCATATATATTTCGTGTTTATTTGTTTCACCATAAAAAAGTGTGGAAACTAAGCGATTAAAATTAAAGAGTCTGTTCCACAATACGCCTTACGTCATGTTTTAGGTTATATTTACGCTATCGATACCGGCACCAATACCTTATTATCGATAATTTTCATCTGTCATAAAATATACCAGCAAATTACAACAACATAACATCAGGCTATCATCGTTGACATCTCTATCGAACGAACGGAGGTAAAAATTTGCGAAAAAAGAAGTGGAGGCAACATTTTGCATAGCTAAAAAATTATACAATACTAGTTTAGAGTACCGCTAATTGTTAAGTGAAACTAAAAGGCATTTCTTATCAATTTATAGTTTCCAAATCCGCAACGAATCGACATAAGTGAGACAAAATGATGCAGCCAGTAAAAATGATTTTTTCCAGCATAGCCCGTCGTGGCTTTGCCACCACTTCTCGGGCAGCAGCCGCACAACAAATGACCGTGAGAGATGCCCTGAACAGTGCCTTGGACGATGAAATGGCACGTGATGAGCGTGTATTCATCATGGGCGAGGAAGTGGCCCAGTATGATGGTGCCTATAAGGTGAGTTTTTCTTCCAACAGCAAGAAAAATCATTTTCACAGTGATTACGTAAAATCCGTGTACGGGTTAGGATGTGACATTCATACAAACATATTGTCAATGTTGAGTGAGTGCATTCATATGGGTTTTCTTCGATTCGATTATGTTGTTGTTGTTGGTGCTGTTTGTGGGAATGTGTGGGGGAAAAGACGAAGTAATGACAGTTTTGGAAAATAGAACATGGGGAAAGCAGTTAGTTAATTTGCGTGATAACAAATCATCATAAAACAAGTGTGCGTATGTGTGTTAATGATTGCGCGCGGTGATTTTTTAAGGTCATTCAATTCACCAGTTAATAAGAAACAAATACGTCACTCATTTGTTATTAACAATTAGTGACGCGCCACAGTATAAACAATACATTGTTTCAAGTGATATAATTGATTTTTATTGTTGTTGCTTTTATTCTTTTGTTTGCAGATTTCTCGCGGTCTGTGGAAGAAATATGGAGATAAACGTGTCATCGATACTCCAATTACTGAAATGGGCTTTGCCGGTATTGCTGTTGGTGCTGCCATGGCTGGTCTTCGTCCAGTTTGTGAATTTATGACATTCAATTTCTCCATGCAAGCCATTGATCATGTAAGCGAATCGCTTTTATAGGATTAAAGCATTAATATCACCTCAATATCATCAGTTTTTATTAGTTTCTATATTAGTTTAGTTTGAATTTTTTCCTTGGACCATAAATATTTGCAAAATTCTTTGGCTTATTAAACGATAATGTAAAACGCATATTGTCAACTGATTAGAAATCCAAAGGGAAGAAAAATATGAAAACTAATTTAAATATAATAGCCTCATAAATAATGAATAAGTACTTCAGTTTGAATATATTTAATTCAATACAAAATAACTGGGAGCCTTTTTCCATGTATGATTAATTAGGGATCGGTACATTAAAATATCGTAAATGAGAACCTTTGATAGTACCTCCACCACAACATTTTCAAAGAAAATAGTTGACTGCACAGAAGGAGAAAGGATAATCCCATTTTGTTCCAACTATGCAAATCCTAATATTTGCATCAGTGCTAGGTCAGGTGCAAAAATGGACAATATATGTCTACTTCATAAAGTACCTCCCCCACAAAGGGTTAACATTTTTAATAATTATAACTCTTATAAAATGTGATGTGTCAGATTGTCTTCAAATTCCACACATCACAGTATTTTTATTAACCCAAGGTTTGGTGTATAGATGGAATTTATCCGTCTACTCTTTCTGGAACCTCCCCCACAAAGGGTCAACATTTTCAATATTTATGAAGCTTATAAAACGTGAAATTAACATCAGATTCCATTCAGACATGACACATCTCAATATTTCGATCAGTACAAGATCAGTAAAAAAGATGGTAGAGATCGGACCATTTCTTCTGGTACCTCCCCCACAAAGGGTCAACTTTGTGTATCACCAAAACGATCATAAAATCCGCACTAATCATCCGGTTCTCTTCAAATTACACACATCACAATATTTTTTTAACCCAAGGTCGATGGGTCGACTCTTTCTGCCATATCCCCCACAAAGGGTCAAACATTTTAAAATATACGTGAGATTAACATCAGATTCCATTCAGACTTGGCACATCTCAATATTTCCATCAGTACAAGATCTGTTATAAACATGGTAGAGAACGGACCATTTCTTCTGGTACCTCCCCCACATAGGGTTCAAGATTTTAAAAAATAAAACGCTAAAAGAAGGCGATTCTATCCATCCATCTCCTCAATTTTTCCACATACAAACATTTTTGCTAACACAAGATCGGTTGTGTAGATGATATACATCTGCCAACCCCTTCTGGTACCTCACCCACAAAGAGTCACAATTTCCAATACTTATACCTGTCATAACTTGCGAAACAAGTCGGCGGTTCTTTACAGCTTTCTATATCTAAATATTTCTCTTAACGAGAAATCTGATAGGAATATATATTTTATCGGAATTTATAATTTCGCATAAAATTGGATATAAATGTTCGATTTTCTTTATCTGTATTAGATGAATTATGAAAGTGGAATACTTCGGTCCGCTATATCTGTTACCTGACGCATATTTCCACATTTTCAGAAAAATTGCACATATCTCTCATGTAAAGTATAGGAAGTTGTCGATATAGTCCAAATCTGACACGTTGTAATATTTATATCAGTCTTAGGTCAGATACGAATTGGCCAATATTAGTAAACTTCGGAACCTCCGTTTGAATAATCATAACTTAAGGCTTGGGGTATACATCTGTCGGCAAAACGGACTGATACTATTTTACTTGTTTTTCGATATTTCAATATTTCTGTTTCTAAAAAGTTTTCATTAAATCGCGGATATTGAAAATAGACAATGTCTATAAAATTCGATTTGTCACAACAAAGGATTGTTCTTCAAGCCTGTGAGCTGTTTAGATTTTTCTCTCTTTCAAAAAGACAAAGCCATTGGAAAACAGAACAGAAAAGATATTGCATTGATTTTTCAAGCGTATAATTTTTCAAGGCCAGAAATTGATTTTTATCTATTTCTCATAAATTATTTTACTAACAATTATCTTTACAAAAAACATTTCCTGTTATAGTTCCTTCTTTAAAATAATTCTTAAATAAGTTTTATTTATTTCCATTTTTTATCTATCCAACATTTCTATCATACATTGTACATAATAATTGTTAACTTTAACTCATATTATCTCAAAATCTTTTAAGTAAATTTGTTATATTCAAAATATAATCTTCCATAATGAGTGTAAAGGCATCGTAATTCATCAAGAACGAACGGGAAATGCCAACAATATCAACTTCTTTTTTTGTCATAACCTTAAAAAAAACCTATACAAACGAAGACGTTAACAACATAATGGGATAATATGGGTTAAGTTCTCTCTTTTACTACATCAATAGAGTTGATTCCCCCAGATATGGTTTAAAATCGTCAATATTTTAAACACATCACACAACAACTCTAAAATTGCATCCTTAAATTATGAATAAAATACAATTTTTGAAAAATTCTTAAAATAAATGACCCATATTATCCAATTATATGAAACAGGGTTCGCTATTGAAATCAAAATTGTCAAGCCCATTGTCGATGATGCGTCAAATGCACACTCAAAATGGTTTATCGCATTCAAATCCCTTTGCCACCATCCCAATATATGCCGTGGTGCAGCCCCAATTGAATCGCATACCCCTTGGAGACTATATGCCCAAACGACCAGAAATTGGTGATCCAACCAAATCAAAGTGGTTGGATGAAATTGGTGATGTAGCTAATGAAACAAATGAAATTCGGGCGCCCACCGATTCAAAAACTGATAAAATGGAAGCGGCAAGAATGATTGTCATCAGACGGCGTAAAATGAAGAAACACAAGTTGAAGAAATTGCGCCGCAAGATGAAATTCGAATGGGCCAAGGTTAGACAACGTCGTGAAATGCGCAAAGAAAAAGCATTCCAAGCTAAACTTTTGGCACAAATCAAAGATGCCGAAGCCTTTAATGCTGCCAAATTTGTGGCCGATAAAATACAACAGGCCAAGGAAACGCCATTGCCACGTCACTGGAAGGGACGTCGTTTACCGGCCTTTATAATCAAAGAGAAACTGGGTATTAAATAAAATCAATTGCAAACAAGAAAAGTCTTTGTTTCCTGTAGTTTGTAAGAGTGTTTGTTAAGTCAAATAAAAAGTATAAGATTGCAAAATTCAATGAATTTTGTGCCAAACCAAAATGTTGTTGTTGGTATTTCCTGAGATCTTGGGTGATTTTACGAGGCCTTGGAAGCCTGTCCTAAATTTGTGTGTAATTTTTTTTGTTCATTCTCAAAATTAAGGTCATCAACTCCGCTGCCAAAACATTCTACATGTCTGCCGGTATGGTTAATGTACCAATTGTATTCCGTGGCCCCAATGGTGCTGCTGTCGGTGTAGCTGCCCAACATTCACAGTGCTTTGCTGCCTGGTATGCCCATTGCCCTGGCCTTAAAGTCTTGTCTCCTTATGATTCCGAAGATGCTCGCGGTCTATTGAAGGCCGCCATTCGTGATCCCGATCCAGTTGTCTTTTTGGAAAACGAAGTCGTATACGGTACCTCATATGCCGTTGATCCCAAAGTCTTGGACAAGGACTTTGTTGTGCCCATTGGTAAGGCCAAAATCCAAAGGCCTGGTAAACATGTTACACTTGTGGCCCATTCCCGTGCCGTTGAGACTTGTCTCTTGGGTGCCGCCGAATTGGCAAAGAAAGGTAATGCTATTGTGGAATTTTAAATATGCATCTTAGGACTAATGATTTTATTTTAATTTTTATGAATTTAAGGCATTGATGCTGAAGTTATTAACTTGCGTTCAATTCGTCCATTGGATATGGAGACCATCTTCAATTCCGTTAAAAGACACATCATTTGGTGACAGTAGAACAAGGATGGCCACAAAGCGGTGAGTTACTATTGAACTTTTATTTCACTTCTTGGCCGACCAAAAATGCCCAAGAAGACTTCTTGAGTTCACTGGCCGACTTCATATAGGTCATGAGCCGACCTTATGTAGGCCTTTCTACTAGGTTTATTGTCAAAAGTAGTCCCAATGGCATTTCGAACAGAATGGACACCACCATTTTATGGAATACTTAAAATATCAACATATTTGTATACTCTCCACCATAGTATGAAGGGTATATTAAGTTTGTTATTCCGTTTGTAACAGCTCGACATATACATTTTAGACCCACAAAGTATATATATATTCTTCATCAGCATAAAATTCTATGTTCGTCCGCCTGTCCATCTGTGGAAATCACTCTAGCTTCCGAACGAAATGGAGTAAGTTCATAAAATTTTACTCAAATCTATATTATGTCTGTAGGATTTTTGGTATTGGAAAAATGGGTCATGTAGGTCCACATTTTAGTATAGCCCCCATGTAACGGTACCTCCCGACCGGAAATGTTTCAAATTTTGGTATTTGAAGTTCGTAATGGATACTTCAGCCAACGACAGAAAATTTGTCTGTGCAGGTTCACGTCTTCGTATAGCCCACATATAACGGTACCTCCCATTATTCGGTATTTTGGTGATTTTAGAGACATTATTCACCGGAATTGTTTCAATTTTGATATTTGAAGTTCGTAATAGATACTAAAGCATATGACCGAAAATTGTCTGTGCAGGTTTACATCTTCGTATAGCCCCCATATAACGGTACCTCCCGATATTCGGTATTTTGATGATTTTAGCTACATTATTAACCCGAATTGTCAAATCAAATTTGGTATTTGACATTCGTAATGGATACTACATCCTAAGACAGAAAATTGTATATGTATGTCCATGTCTTCGTATAGCCCCCATATAACGACCCCTCCCGCTATGCGGTATTTTGATGATTTTAGCGACATTATTCATCGGAATTGTTTAAAATTTGGTATTTGAAGTTCGTAACGGATACTAAAGCTTATGACAGAAAATTGTCTGTGCAGGTCCACGTATTTGTATAGCCCCCCAGAACGGTACCTTCCGTGAATCGGTATTTTATGATTTTAGCTACTTTATTAACCCGAATTGTTTCAAATTTGATATTTGAAGAAAAAAGATGTGTGTGCAGGTGTAGGGTATTCAAATTTAGGCTCGGCCGAACTTAAAATATTTACTTGTTTACAATTTGTTTTTAATTTCAGGTGTTGGTGCTGAAATTTGTGCCCGTGTCATGGAGGATGAAACTTTCTTCCACTTGGATGCTCCAGTATGGCGTGTTTGCGGCGTTGATGTGCCCATGCCTTATGCCAAAACATTAGAAACACATGCCCTGCCACAACCCAAAGATGTCGTCGAGGCTGTCCATAAGGTATTAGGAGGCAAGAAGTAAATTCAATTGTCTCCCAATACAGAGTTGTTGTTTTAGAAACTTACAACAACATCCACAACAAATACCAACGTTTTACTCTACTTTCGTACTCGATTCTATCGAAAAAAAAAAAACAAAGATATAAATAATTAAAAAAAGATCACCGCCATTTATTAGAAAAGTGTAACAATTAGTAGCCAGAAATCTCTAAATCATTGACAGACAACAAGAAAAAACAAAAGACCCTTTTGGATTAAATGTGTATGTATTTATTTTTGTTGCCACCAATATTTTTAAAACAAACTAATTTTTGAACGAAGAACAAAACTAACACAAGAAAGCTATTTCCAGCAGCAAGGAAGCGATGGTTTGAATTTTGTACATATATTGTGTAAATTGATAATGTGAGAACTGCAAGATCTTAGAAAAATTGAATCTTGAATGCTGCATTCATAAAGGATATTTTTAAAACAAATTATATTGTTATTGGCTGGATTCAAACAAAGTTTGTTTTCCTCATTTAAATTATTACTTTATTATAAAAAACATAAAAAACAAAGAGGGGCTTTAATAAAATTTAACAAAAAATAAAAAAGCAAACCTTTTATTTTAAATGGAAATCATTGGGTAGTAAAATTCTATATCTATGTTCTTTTACAGCCAGCCTGACCAGTGTGTTTGTGTTATTTGTTAATGACCTCCCTCCCCCTAATCCAGGATGTTATGCGAACCGTGTCCATTGGATGGTTGGCAGCCAGGGGTTAAGCCGGCTGTCTTAGAACGGAGCCTTTCTGAAACCAGGCCAAATCAGATCGTACAAAGTGCCTTGCCACAGTATGGCCAAGCTGTGGTGGACCTTATAACACAGGCCTCCATAAAAATATTGATTACAAATCCACCTACCCCCTAGGTGGCATGGTAATCGCAAGAACAAGATGAAAAACACTCCAAAACAAAATATTTCGAAAACAAACACATTTAAATCCCTGAAACGGCAATATAGACAGGCCTGTTTTATACTTGGAAAAATTAAAGAAAACAAAAAATCCGGTAAAGTTCACAGTCAAGATATAAAAGGCGAAACTAGACTTAGAAACATTATTGAACAATATGAAAACTATATAAAAAATAAGCGTATTTGCAATAGCACCCCAGTCGAAGAACCTAAAACCCTATTCGAATCCCCTGACCAACTCTCATTGTGTTTGGTCAACAAAGATTTCACCAAAGCTGGAATTGTAAACAAATTGTGGAATCAAGTGGAATTTAAATTATCAAATATGATAATCAATTACATTACCAACAATCACAACAAACTCCCTACACTACCATGCTATGATTCATCGGACATGTTTCAAGGATATCACGTAATTAAATGTAAGGATACATTTTCCAAAGAGTTAATACAAAAATTTCTTAATGATATTAACCATTTATGGATGGATTTACAATTGCAATTTGTAGCCATTAAAAATATGCCCCAACGACCATATGGTAGCATTTCTATACCCAATACATACACGCTTAGCAATTTTGAACTATTGCAATATTTACAACTTCATAATCCATCTATTCCCATCGATGATTGGCAGGTGGATCGTGTAGTGGGTCTCACAAATAAACAAAACTGTTATATTTTACTAATCACTGAAGCAAGCGTTGTAGCTTTACGTAGGGTACATAACAAACTTAATTTTGGCATAAATACTCTTAAGATTGAGATTAATGGTGATTCATAAAATAAATAAATAAAAAACATTTTTTTATAAAAATTGGATTTTAAAGAATATTTTCACCGATATTCTACGATTATCATGGATTTACAAGTATTAATCGATTATTTTGTTCTTTTTTTAAAGAGAACATAGAAATAGCGGAAGAGAGAGAGAGAGATTTTTGGCTTAATGAGATGTAAATATTTTGTATTTTTTTTTTGGGGTAGACGGTAACCGGTAACGCGCCAAATGTGCAAAAATTGTAAAATTAAAATTAATTGAGTTGTTCTTTAGGAGTTTTATCATTCTTTTGTACTTTTATCATGCGTTTATGCAAGGCAATTTGCATGGCGCAATAACAAGATGCTCCTGCAAACTCAAAGAAAGTTGAATCACACATGAACAAAAAGTACTACATTTTTTGTCAAATTGTCAGAAGTAATCTCTTGGGCCGACCTTATATAGGCAACGATGGTATCATAAAATAGTATCAGTCGGTTTTCTCGACAGTCGTTTTGTCCCCAACCTTGAGTTATGATTATTCAAACTGTTGACACTTTCAAAGCTGTTTGCCAATGTTTACCAATTTACACACATCACAATACTTTTTTTTAACCCAAGATCTGGTGTGAAGACGTCGGTTCACTCCTTCTTGTACCTCCCCCACAAAGTGTCAAAATTTTGAATATTCAGAAGCTCATAAAACGCCAAATTGGCACATTTCAATATTTCTATCAACACAAGATCTGTTATAAAGATGGTAGAGATCGGATCATTCCTTCTTGTACCTCTCCCACGTAGGGCAAAAGTTTTGAATAACCAAAACGATTATAAAATCCGAAATAACCATCCGGTTCTCTTCATATTTCACATATCCCATTATTTCTACTAACATAAGATATGCTGTGAAGATATATCGGTCCACTTCTTCTGATTCTCCCACAAAGGATCAAAATTTTGAATATCCATGAAGCGCATAAAACGCGAAATTAACTACCAATTCCATTCAGACTTGGTACATCTCAATATTTCCATCAACACAAGATCTGTTATAAAGATGGTAGAGATCAGACCTTTTCTTCTAGTACCTCCCCCGTATAGGCCTCAAATTTTTGAAAAACAAAACGCTCAAAAAAAGCGATATAAGCAACCAAATCTTTTCAAATTTCACACACCCAAACATTTTTGTTAACACAAGTTCTGTTGTGAAGATGATATATATCTGCGAACCGCTTCTGCTACCTCACCTCACGTCGCAATATTTGGTCCATTCCGAACTGCGATTGCCGATATTCCCTTTATGATATCGAAAAAAACTGCAAAAATAGTAGTTCTTGCAGATTCGATACGTAATGCGAACATTAGCTGAGGGTATACATCTATCGGCAAAATTTGACAATAAAAAATTTTGAGAATTTGACAATAACAGCTGTTTTTTTCTATCCCATTTCCCCCTACACAACAAAGACAAACTTGCCGCAAGTAAACTTGCCTAATGTAAATTTGCCTTAGTACAGGCATTTCCTTCGATAATTACGATAGGAAAAAAATATTAATCGATAACTCCTTTTAAAGTAGAATATCGATTGTTTGCCACCACCAAGTCAAATACGTATATTTTTTTAATAACATACATTTTGCAACTGTATATTTACAAATAATAGCTATTAATACGAAAAAAACATCTACAAACATAATTGAAAACATTCGCATCATCATTTTAACACAATTATGTTATGGCTTCAAGCAGTAGTGACGAAAGTTCCAAAGCACCAGAAAACTTTCAAGTATCAAGCACATCCAACGATGAGGATGACGAGATTTTAGAATTAAATGGGAAATTTCTTAAAAAGCATCGATTGAAGGGTACACGGAAGACTGCGGGTGGCAATGGTGACGGAGGTATTGGTTTGGACACTGCACCATCGTTGAAGTGCTTCCTCTGCCTAACGCAACAACATCGATTTCATTGCCGTGATTGTGTGAAATCTGGATATATCACACGCAAGGGACAGCCCCACGGAGAATGGTGAGTTAAGTACAAAATGAGGGTTTTATAGAGGAAGAAAATGATTTTATTTTTGGTGATGATATGTAGATAAGATTTGTGTAGCTGGAAGGCAATACTTAGGTGATTGATTTCAGTAATTAAGAAAAAAACGAAACATTTAAGCAATTATATCACATTTCCTGAACATTTTTAAAGTCAAGAAATGAAGATCATGGATCCTAATTGATCGGAGGACGAAGGTGAGGTAAACGTCACATCAATAAACTTCATGTTGTCGGAAGCTAAACTAAAAATATTATAATTTTTTGGACTATTCAGCAAACTCCCTCTTACTACAGAACGACAGCTTTGTTATACTCAGGATATAGTACAATACTTATGTACGTTTTGAAAATCTACGTGGCTAGCTGGAATTGTATATTAGAGCAGTTTCGAATGGCCAACAGACAATTAAATAAATTAAATTGAAAATATAAACACTCGAAAGAAATGTAAAAAATTAACAGATCCAAGGGAGTGCATATCTCCCATCTTCTTAGTTCTATTTTCTTACAAGTCAAGAAGCAAAACTATGTTTGTCCTTTCATCCTGAGTTTTGAAGCGAATATTAGTATAGGAAGAATAGGTCCTTTTATTTTCCATAATAAGTTTCCATTTGTAGTATTTGCTGGTTGTGATTGGCCAAATGGCTTGTAAATTGCAAGATATAAATAAATGCAATATAATTATTCATATGAATGTGGTCATGAGATATAGACTTATTAAAAAACTTTTTACTAACATCTCTCCCACTGTCTTTTTAGTTTATCCGAAAAACAACAACAATTTCTTAAGATCAAAGCAAAACTAAACGAATTTAGTCAACAATACGAACGGCTGATTCGGGAAAAGCGAACAAGTGAAAATATTCGATTTGAAATCAAAAGGCATCAGGAACAGGTGGATCTACTGCAACATTTGATATCAAATAAAAAGTCCACGCTGCAATCGCTGCAAGAGAAACGTAATGAATTGTCCAAAGCTAATTCCGACAAAAAGAAAACATTGCCAAAGTATCCAATAAAAGTCAAAGAGCTCGAAGATTATGTATTGGATCGTATAGAAAAAATTGATAGTTTACGTGAGCGCCATACTACACTGTTGGACACCCTAAAAGATGTTACACGACGCGGCATACGACAATTGGTTGAGTACATTTTTCCCATCTCCGAAATTGTGCTCAAAGATGAAAAGTCCCCGGCCACGGCGGGTATGGCCGGCGGGCAACAGCTACAGAAAAATCCAAATTCACCATCTGAAGATGCCGAAACGATAGCCGCCCTGGCCGATGCCAAAAACACATCGTATATACGCGGCAAATGGGTTATCCACAGCAGTGGCATTAGTGAAATGCAATATCGTATTGTGGCCCCATCGCTGCCGGCCAATGGTGACTACTCGGCTTACCTGGATTGGTTGAAAGACAACAAAGATGATGTACCAAAGACGACTGCCAATGAGATTGCACCGAGTCGTGTTAGTGCTTTTCGCATTGTGGGCGCCCTAACGTATACGGCCCAGCTAACACAATTGATCTGCTACTATCTAAATGTGCGTTTGCCATACAAAGTGGTGTATGGGTAAGTGTGAATATAGATAGGTCTAGATAAATATCTAATATACCAAATAATTTGTTTCCAGGGACTTTTGTCGTAAACTCAACGAAGAGCAATTCCTACGTAAAGTTTCGCGGCTCAATTCAAACATTATGTATTTAGCATACACCCAGCAGGTTAAATTACGTGCGCTTAATGATAATCATACCTTGGAAAATTTGCTTGTACTCTTGGATCCGGAGAAAAGTGATTTGGGACGACATGGATTTCAAGAGGTTGGCAATGCTCCGCTTATGAAATCAGTTGACTCGCTGTTATTGCTAATTGAAACGGCAACGGAATCAGAATCGGAAGGTATTCTTTGTTTAAAAAATATTTTTTACTTGTGTTTTTATATTTTCTGTTTCTTTTCTTTTGCAGATGAAAACTCCTTCCGTTTGGACTGGGAAGACGTACCTAATTTGCCCACACAACATGATATTATAAATACCAATTTGATAACAACGCCAGCCACGGGCCAACAACAACAACAATCCACCATTGCCGAGGGTCTTATGACATCGGCAGCCAATCGTATAACTTCTATTTTTCGTTGGATGAAATAGATTTTAGGGACAGGAAACTTGTAATATGTGTATAAGCCTTTAAAGCTTATTATATTTTCAGTTGTATTCTTTTCTTGCAACGTTACAAAGAGAGATTTATTTTTGTTTTTAAATCGACTGTGATGCATTTTTGTTTTTGTTTGTGGCTTTTTTTAACGAAACAGCAAAAACAAAAAGTGGTATATAAAAAGGAAACGCAATCATTCAAAATGTTTTTTTTAGTTTATTTTGTTTATATTAAAGAAGATTGTATATCTTATGCGGCTGTTGTAATACAGTTCCAAAACAACATACATATTATTTTGTAAAATAAATTGCTACAAATTTAGTTTTATTCAAAGTGTTATATTTATATTGCTATTTGTTTGCTATGGGCATATATATGAACATCAAAGAAAACAAAGCGTCTAGGGATCACAAAAAAAGCTTGGTTCTTATATTCCTCCTGTACATACGTAACATATATAGAATTTTATCATATACAACCTAATTATTATTAATTGTAAATGTTTTTTTGAAAATATTAAGTTAATCGACTCTAATTTTTTCCGCGTAGCTGATGTAGTCTGTAATTTTAAAAACCTTCACACACCCACACATCTGATTGTTGTTTTAAAATTTACCCATTAATAATTTTTAATAATACCGGAAATTTGTATGACACATTACCTCCAACACCCATCCCCCCACAAAAAAGGAATGTGAAAACAGTTTTTATAAAACAGCAACACAAACAAATATTTAATAGCAAAAAGTTACAAATACATGACCCAAACCTTTGGACAACCACAAATTACATATGAAAGAATTTCTAATTTTAATTAAAAAAAATAAACAAATAAATAAAATTATTTTCTAAAATGCGTTTTTTTATTCTACTCAAAGAGAGAGAGTTGATTTTAGGTGTTTCGATTCTTTAATGGAATTTTAGAGCGATGGAAGCCACCAAGACTGACCTCTATAGAAAAAGGAAATCTGCAACGCAATATAAATGCAATTTAAGTAACGTGGAAAATGTCGGACAACCTAAGAAAACCTCCATACTATGACGGAGGGTATAAAAACAAGTTAAAAGGTATCAGTCGGTTCTGCCGACAGACGTTTACCCTCATCGATTACTTAAATATATTTTGACTTCTTTTATGATTATTCAAACTTTTGACCTCCTATGGATCTAAATAAATACGATATAAATATTGCGGCGTGTCAGGTTTGGTCTATATTGGTAACTTCATCATAACATCTATACTCATCCCAAGTTTTTGGTTGAGAGAAATATTTAGATATAGCAAATCGAAAGAAAAATGTATTGGAAATTGTGGCCCTTTGTGGGTAAGGTACCTGAAGGTGTTCGCAGCTATGTATCATCCTCACAACAGATCTGGTGTTATCAAAAAACTTTTTTATGTGTGAAATTTGAAGAAAGTTGAATGTTTATTTGGCTTAATTTGAGCGTTTGGTTTCTCAAAATCTTGAATCCTATGTGGGGGAGTTACCAGAAGAAATGTTCCGTTCTCTACCATCTTTATAACAGATCTTGTGTTGATGGAAATATTAAGATGTACCAAGTCTGAATGGAATCGAATGTCAATTTCACGTTTTAGGAGCTCCATGGATATTCAAAATGTTTACAATTTGCGGGGGAGGTATCAGAAGGGGTGGACCGATACATTCCATCTTTGGGTTAATAAAAATATTTTGATGTCTGTAATTTGAAGACAATCGGACTCTTACATCACATTTTATAAAAGTTATAATTATTCAAAATGTTGAACCTTTGTGGGGGAGGTACTTGATGGAGTGGACCGATATTGTCCATTTTTGCACCTGACCAGTACTGATGAAAATATTAGGATTCGCAAAGTTGGAGCAAAATCGGATTATCCTTTCTCTTTCTGTGCAATAAATTATTTTCTTTGAAAATTTTAACATTTTGTGTGGGAGGTGCCAGAAGGAGTGGACCGATATTGCCCAACTCCGAACTCGATCTAAGTTTGATAATATTACGATGTACTAAGTTTGGATCAAATGGGATACTCCCTTCGAGAGTTATCGTGCGCGCCAGCCAGACAGACGGACGGACGGACATCGCTAGATCGACTCCAAATGTCGTGAAACGAATTTGGTCCAAAGAGACCTAGGGTCTAAAACCGTTATTTCGATGAGGCACGTTTTGACCGTATCAAATGATATATGGTTAAGGGTATAAAATTAAGAGAAAATGTGTCTAAGCTTAATAAAAGAGAAAAGGTGCAGAATCCACCACCTCAAAAAAGATTCTGCTATAATTTCATGTAAACGGAAAATTGCTGGATCATAACCTCGTACAAATATAGCACGCATTTCCAAACCCACCTATCAAACTTACTTTTTAACCTTGGTTCTCATACCAAATTTTAAGTATTTAAGTCTATCCGTGCACGTATACCCAACTGATTCCATTTTAGAACATTTCGTAACCTTAAAGCTCGAATTTCCAAAAATCCTGCACTCCATCAGTGAATCTCATTGATTTTAGCTCATTCCGTTTGTCCAATGCAAAGTAAAGGCATTTAAAAATAGCAGTCCTGCAACAGATTTTCCATTCAGGAAGAGTTTTGAAATTGAAATAAATAAACACACACACCCTTTGTACTTAATTTAAATTTTCTTTGTTTATTTTTAGAAAAATTATAAATTACGGTTTACGTTTCCTTAAATAAACAACATACACAGTTTTCTTAAATTTTCTTCTTTTTTCTTCTAATTTTGAAATGGATTAAGTAGTACTATTATGAGAAAATCAATAAGACTGACGACAAAAAATAAAATAAACGATTATAACAAAAAATATGATAAACATACTTTACACTGGATAAGAAATATGGTCACAGAAGTATAACAATCGATGTGAACAATATATTATTTCTTTATGTGCTGATGATGCTGTGCCTGGCGACGACTTCCAGATGATGACGATGTGGATGTTGAGCCAGATGAGGTGGATGAGGATGTTGATCTTATGTGTCGTTCGTATTTTAATGATGAGGATTCATTCGACGACGATGATGACAATGATGATGAGGTGGCGCTGAGTGAGGGTAATAGGAAAGGATTTTGTGTTAAAAATCCTGGTGGCAATGTCAGGGATGAGGCTTGCAATAACGATGATTTGATATTTACACCAAGTGAAGAACTATTGTTATTTATACTGGATGGCGGTTGGGGTGTTAGAAATAAAGGCAGTGTTGATAAATTATTAAAGTTTAAATTATCCTTGCACAGCGGTAGTGGTGTTGTTGCTCCCGTTGCTACTGCCGATGATGCCGTTACCGCTGCTGGAAATGCAATACCCAATGATTGAGCTGATGTAACGACTGGCAGTGAGGGTATTTTATTACCGGTGGTGTTTGTTGTTATCGTTGAGGTATTACCACACAATGAGGATAATACTAAGGCCGCTGCTACAGTTTGTTCGTGATTGTAAAATGCCGTAGATGTCGTCACACTGGAACTGGTCGCTATAGGTGGGGTGGTGCCTATTAAACTCAGTGGATTGGGCGACGACGATGGTGTGTAATTCCTCAACGGTGTTTTGGGTCATTGATGTGGCACATTGGGGGGCATTGGTGAAGAGGATGTTGACGGTCGAGACTGTAGTTGATTGGCTGCCGTCCCTGGTGAAGATAAAATTGGCTGCACTTGTAGGTGCTGTAAATGGATATGAGCATAAAAACAAACAACAAACCTTGAAGCCATTACTTACCTCTCCCAAATCCATAAATGCATTCACCATTTTATTGTAGCCCTCAACACCCAGTAGATTTAATGCTCCCGATGTTATTGTTGAACTAGGTGGCTGTTTCTTTTTATTATTGTTGTTGTTATTGTAAGTCTTTTCGGAACCAGTTTGATTAGAGGAGTTCGGTGTAGCACTACGGCTATTAGTCTTCTGTTTTTTGTTTACATTACTTTTTGGCGGAAAATAACCAACAATTTCAATTTCCGAATCAGCTCCGCTACTTTCGCGCCGTGAGACGGTATTTGTGTTGGACGACGAAGACGTCATTGTATACGATGCCAAAGCTGCATTGGCCGCAGCGGCTTGTTGCATTATTTCGCTGGGACACGTATAATTGTCGAGATCAATGACATGTGTATTACTGGAATGTTTCAAGGGTTGAGATAGAGCCGCCACTGTGGCACTGAAAATCGAAGATGTGGTTGCTTGCTGGGCGGCAGCCATAGATGTTGGTGATATTATGTGATTAATGCTATGATCTGATTTCTTATTGGGCGAAGTTAGATCTAGGCCAGTCGGCATATTTTTAGTGTTCGAGGATTTGTGTTGTTCGCCATTTAATTTGGCTGCCTTCGCGGCCTTAGTTTGTTTATTGCTTGGATTTGGATCGGTGTTTTTGCGTTTCAGACTCGATGACGTATTGCTGCTGCTGGCCACCGAATCGGTATCTGAATTGGCATTCGAACGTGGATTCGTCTCAGGCGGAGGGTTTGGTTGAGTACTAAATGTGACTGTGTTGGATGTGATGGCATGTTGAACTGCTGCCGCATTCGGAACAGCTGGCAATAGTGTTTTTGACTTTTCCTTTTCTTTAGCCTTTTTAATTGCATTCTTTCTCCGTTCAATCTCCTTTTGAAGCTCCTCGTAGCGCATCCAACCTTTGGGCCATATTTCTACAACCTTCTTGCTCATATAGCTGGTAATGAAATCTTCAAGATTTTCTTTCTTCTTGCCGAGGACAGGATATGAAGTCCAACGTACTTGGTAAACGTCGTACAACAAGTTTCTAAACATAAATATTTTAGATATTTAAGAAAAATAAAAGAAACTACATTTTGTAACCTTAAATTGGGGTTCCAAGGGAATTTTTTCTTTGGCATTTTGGGAGGCTGTTCGGAATTCACATTTGCCGCCCTGAAATGAAGTATTTGCTTTAATAATAACCGAAAATCGCAAAACTTTGCATTTGAAACTTACTGCAGTTCAGCATATCTTCTCATTTCTGCTTCGTAACTTGCTATAACAATAGGCATTGTTTCGGTTACGGCTTTCTGTAGTTTGTTAAAGGCTCGTTTGGTCTTGAGTTTCTCTTCTTTTTCGCGCAGCTGTCTGGCTTTTCGCAAAAAGAAATATTTCGGTTGTAAAAGTTGGTACTCCAAATGGGCATAGACCATGCTACGATCGCCTTTATCAATGCACAGCAATGCATCATCAATTCTGAAAAAGGCAGATAATGCAAATATTTTCCATGCATGGTTAGTAAAAAATAAAATTCATCGGTCTTACTTTAAAAAGCTCTCCGACAGATTATCATCAAATTGAAATTTCTTTCCCAGTAGATTTTTCGCTTTGATACCTTCACGGAATTCCACAACACTTCCCAATACATCGGGCTCCAAATCAGGTAATTTTGTGTCTGTAGACCTTAATTCTGCAAAAAATATAAAAAATATTATCATAAAAATTAAAAAATATAATATGATTTATTTCCTACTTTCATTGCCCTGATTATCTTCATTGCTGGATGCCGATTTTTTATCTGTCTGCGCTTTGGGAGCACTCTGATTGGAATCACTGTTATCTGAATCATCGTCATCCTCCTCATCGGAATCATCACTAGATTCACCATCGTCGTCGTCTCCGGACGAAGCTTTACCCTTAACTTTGCCATTGCCAGTTTTAATATCACTGGTTGTTTGTGCCTTCAGGAAGTTGTCGCGCTGAGCCTTTAACATATCCTTCACCGTTGTTGTTTTCTCCAACTTTTTGGCATTTCTTTCCTTCTCTGAATCAGAAGCCAAGTCATCTGTCACAGGTTTTGGAGAATTTGAAGAAGATCCTGACGATACACCACTGGTAATATTTTTAATTTTTCTCTTTTTGGGATTATTTCCATTTTCCAGGGGTGGATTAGATGCTTTCTTTTTATTAGGATTTAAGGTGACTTTCAACTTTTTATCAACAGCAGGGGCAGAGGAGCTAGACTTTGACTTTGTTGTTTCAACCGAAGCATCTTCGGCAGAGTCTTCCTCTTCATCATCCTCATCATCGTCAGAATCGTCATCATCATCCTCCTCATCGTCGTCGTCATCCGAGGAGGATGAATCTTCAGACGATGATGAAATAACCGGTTTCTTTGGACGATTGGGCATTTTTATGATTTCATCGGTTTTGGTAGTCGTTGATTCGGTGTGGAGTTTTTTAAACTCCAAGGCACCGCAATTAATATAGAAGCCGCCTTCAATGGTTTCCACTTCATCGGGTAGCATTTCATCGTACTGAAAATAAAACACAATTGAGTTTTCTACTGCAAGACATGAAATTGTGGGTTCTTACCGCTTCTGTGTTATCGATAAAAGAGTCGGACTCGTCATAGCCCAAACCTATGTCGATTTCATCTCTTTTATTCTTGCCTCGTCCACTGACGTAGGCATTTCCATATTTTCTCTCCAACTCCTTTGCAATGCGCGCAACATCATCGTCATTATCCTCAAAGGGATCCGAGAAACCGTTTGTCTTCTGTTTCAGTTTTTTCAATTTTTTCTAAGAAAATGAAAAAAAAAATGAAATGTGTTAGCAATTTTGAGGATCTGGGGTATTATGGGACCACGCGCGCATCAAGCAGGATACCGATATTTTCAAGGTACGGAGTATGGCAAACAAATTACTAATACCTAACCCCCAACGAAAACAAAACTATTTTATATTGACTGACGCTTGTGTGAACGCCTTGGCACCATCAGTCAATAAAGCTACAGGTGAGAACTTTACCAACAACAGAAATGGATTTAAGATCGAATTCGGACAGTGATTCAAGATCGTCTGCTCCCACTGGAGGGACGCAATGGATGGGTAGCTTGGCAAGCGACAATGCTTTGACACTTGACTTAGTAAACGACACGAGTCACGACAATGTCTGTGTAGACTTTTGATAAGGACCCCTATCTGAGGAGGAGGAAGAGGACATGGATACCGCCGTAGTCTATGTCACGATATCTAGTCAGAAATTGCGTTGCCCCAGAGCCCCAATACAAATTCATCGCTAAATGTCGGTAAAACCCATGCTCTCAGGCCATTGGTAGTTGAGGTACAAGGAAGATAAAATGGATGTGTCGTTGAGTTATTCCGACCAGTATATAGGTTGCAGGACAGGGCAGGGTCAACTACAAAAGGGACTACAGCGAGCGAACGTGAGAGCGTCTTGTCTACTGAGTTACCAATCTCGGGAAAAAACCCTCTCGAAGGCGACCTAGACTGCCTCCCAACCAGTGGTTGTGAAAAAGACGCGGTCAACTGAGAAGCAGCAACCCAAGGCGAAGAAAAAGGTGACGAAGCAGACGATATAGTCCGTCTCGTATGCTTCGTTTGCGGAAAATAAGGATAGTGGGAAGCACACTAATGGGAAGGCGAAAGTGGATCCTGTCGGTAATGCTTCGCAGAAACCTTGCGACTCAAAACCGAAGCAGAATTATTAATCTGACCAACGCTTGGTAACGTAAGACATTAGAGTAGCGGTCATTGATAAGGCTGACCCAAATGGGGGTTTTTTATTGCATTTTTTTTCCAGAGGTAGGTATTTGTACTCAGATTCTGGGAAAATATTTTCTTTAAATACACTACTTAAAACTTTTTGGAAGTTATATCTAAATTATCGACTTTTTAAGGGTCCATTATGAGAGTCCATAAAATAACCTTTCATAAATGCTACACTATGTGATAATATATTTTCAGAACTCGGGTAACCCGATTCTGTTCAGAAAATCGAACCAGAGTTCTTCTTAATTTCGGCTTGAAATTTTTTCCTCTGGACATGTCCTGAGTATGTTCAAATCCGTCCCCCAGAAAAATATACTTTCCCAAAATCAGGGTACGAATATCTACATCTGTAAACAATTTCAAAAACAAAACGGATTTTTTTCTAGAGTTAAACCATGTGGTTTCGAACAGTCGTTGACTTCATACACGCTCCTGCACAAAATACTTTTTTATTTATGAAGCAATTGCTGTTCTAGAACCTGCAAGAATCTACAAGTTGTCCAATTTTTATACCCTACAACACTATGTGTTGGGGGTATTATAAGTTTGATTGGGCCAAAATTTATGTAACACCTCGAAATATTGATTTCCCACATAGGAAAGTATATATGGATCTTCCTAGCTCGCCGAGCTGAGTCGATCGAGCTATGTATGTCCGTCCGTCCGTCTGTCCGTCTGTCCGTCTGTCCATGTTAATTTGTAATCACTCTACAGGTCGCAATTATTGCCCGATCTTCACGAAATTTAGAATGTAGATGGGGCTTGAACCAGAATAGAACCCTATTGCTTTTGGAGATGATCGCCAAATGTTTAGGGGTTGAAATGGACCAAATACTGAAAAAATGTCGGATTTTGCAGTAGCTATACAGGACGCAATTATAGACCAATCGACGCGAAATTTCGCATGTAGCTAGAGCTTAGGGCGGGGAAGAAGCCTACCAATTTGGGTGGTCATCGGATAATATTTAACGGGTAAAATAGACCATATCTTTTGTGTTGAAAAAATTCAAAAGTTTTCATTAAACCGCGAATATTTTAAATCCTGGCAAAATCACAAAGCCATGACAAGGTTACTTCTGATCTTTACATTGATGTTAACATCCAACAAAACGGATATATAGCAAAATATGTGCGATATATATGTCTATCAATGAAGATATGCTTGAAAGATCTCTTATATGTCGAGAACGGCTGAACTGATTTCGACAGTTCTCATTAATTCAGAATGGCCTCTTGGCAGGAAAGAAACAACGTCTAAAAAATCGCATGAAAATATCTCTCTAAAGATGAAAATATTGATTTTGTAAAATTTTCTCATATTATTTTCAATTTTGTCACATTTTTGGCATATTTTCATTTTGAATTAAACATTTGGTAATATTTCTACAGCTAACAAAACTAAGTAGTTAGGATATCAGGATATCATAAACAGATCGCATTTATGGCCCGGTCCTAACGAAATTTTGCATGGGGATCAGGTGAGGGTCAGAATAGAAGCCTACTCTTTTTGGAGATGATCGCCATATATTTAAGGGTTGAAATGGACCAAAAAAACTGCAAAATTGTCAGCAGGTCGGAATTATTGCCCGATCCTCACGCACATTTGAATGGGGGTTACCGGACATTGCAAAAGCCAAGCAGTTTTGGATGGCCATCCAAAAATATTCAATGTGGGAAATAGTTTGCCAACTTTTGTAGACAAAATACGAAAATGTAAATTCCAGTGACTTTTTGGAGAATTCACAAATACAGGAAAGACGCACTTCTGACTATTTCGTTAACGCTGATTTCGTTGAAGAATATAGTCAAATGTCTGTATCTCATATAGATGTGTTTCAGTCAAAAACCAATAATAATTGTTAATCTTTGGCCACTTCTGAGAGATTATAGGTCTTTGGAAAATATTGGTTCCAGATCTAGGAAGACCATTTACGCGCAACTTCTTCCAATAAATTGGAAATGAGCAAAGTAGTTAAAATTGCTATAATTCGAAAATTAGAGAACGAAACCTGATGGTTTTCTTTTATTATTTGTCACAATATCTTGTGGAATTCTTTCGAGTATCTCGCCTATATAAACTGTATCGTTTATTATAGTGTTGTAGGGTATTCAACGGTCAGCCCCGCTCGACTGTAGCCTTTGCTTACTTGTTTTTTTTCGATATCATAAAGAGAAATTGGTTTATCGTAGTAAAAAGTTTTATATTCTTGCAGTTCTGGAGCAGAGCAAATATGTTTTATTATTTTTAAATTTAAATTTTTTATTCAAAGGGAAATTCACAACAGCCATTCAAAGCAACTGTTATTGCTTCAGAATTGAAAAGAAAAAATCGTACAGTGCAAAACCATTAGAACAACATGAAAAACAAAACCATATACTGTTTCATGAACTACTTACCTTTTCCACATGCACTAATTTTGAATAATCAAATTCTGGATATTGATTGCAATCTGTTTGAAATAGTTCAACGTTCAAACGCAATGTTTTACAGCCATTTTTACTGGAGGACGATGATGCGGGTGCCGCCGATTTTCCTGTTGGAGCCAAAAACTCTGCACCGAACCTCGACGAACCGGCCGTCAGAAGAGATGAGGATACCGTACTACTAATAGTTGTCAATGTAACACGTTTTGCTTCGGACATGATTTTTGCGTAAATAATTTATGTTCACCTATACACACAAACATGAATGTGTCAAAACATAAACACTTTTTTCGTTTTCCGTTTTCTCATTAAGTTTATGGCTGCAGAAGCAGAAGAAAATAAAGCTATATAGGCGACCCAATAATGATCAAGAAACACCAATAAATGCACCGAATCAAATTAAATGGTATGGCCGCCGGTCTAACGCCAAAAAGTTCAAGTTTCCCATTGGTAATTAATTTCAGTTTGCTGTCCGGAATTTGGAGCAGAGAACGAAGTCTTGTGTGAATATACAAGCCGGCGCCAAAGCCGCGATATAAAATGACACATTACAAACGGATACCACACAACCGAGTAATAGAAATGACAATTGCTTGGGTGATTCCAGGCTTAATAGTAACTAGAAAAAAATCAAACACCTTCGGGAGCCGCAATGTGCATTTTTAGTCTTTATTCAATAACGGTCACAAAACAATAATTATCACTACATTAAATCAAACGCTTGACTATGATACCTAATCATAAACCTCAAGCACTGTGACTGCAAAAATCACGAAAATTTCGGCGGCTAACATATAAAAACGCACACACTCGGCGACGCATCATTTATTCACATTCAGCTGACTTCGTTCTCTGGGTATGAGGGACATTTGTTTTTTTTCTGTTCTTCTCTTCCAACTCTTTTCGAGATGCTTGTTAGCTTCGTTTTATTGTGTTTGTGTTCCACCTTTTTCAATTCTTCATTCTTTATGATAAATGCCGTAATTTTCAAGACACTAAAATATATTTTTTTACAGGAGGCGACGTGTCGATTGGATTCCAGAAAATATGTTTGTCAATCTAATTTTCACAACTTTGCTCTTAAGAATTTAAGTATGGGAAAACGCGAATATGCAATTTTCTGCAATGGAACACGAGCATTAATTGAATTGCGAAGATGATTTTTTTTCTTTTTTTGGTTTAGGCACAAATAATATTTACGATTTTCCAAATTTTCTTCACTGAAACACTTCGACACCAAAAACTGCACAACTTTTCTTGTTTGAGCCGCTCATTTTGCAACGTTGTTATTTGTTTTGGTTGTTGAACAGTTGCCCAAAGTGGCATTCATAGTTGGTTCCGTAGGGAACTTGTCAAGTGGTGTAGCAACTTTAGGATTGCCGTACAGGCCAATAATCGCGGGATATTTGAAGAATATATCTTGAGCGACTATATATCTTACAATCATGAATTTATTATTTGATATACTATATATTTTTAGCGGCCGAATGAACAATAACCGTAGATTTCTTAATATTCTACTTCTCTTCTCTTAATATTCTATCATAAAATGGAGAACAAATTATAACATTTTCTTTGTTCCAGAACCTGCAATAATCTTCTAGTTTTGCAATTTGTCATTCCGTTTGAAACTCCTCGAAATATGATAGACCCTTTAAAGTATATATATTCTGGATGATCGTAAAATTCTAAACCGATTAATTTGCATACATGCATATTTTTCCAGTAGGCAGGTTAAGTTCGTAAAATGGCTACATGTGGTCACGTTTTCGTATAGCCCCCACATAACGGTACCTCCCAATAGGAATTATTTCAAATTTCGTCTTCGTATAGCCCCATATAGCGGTTTTCATTTAAGTTTGTAGTTTTCGCATGTTTTTAATTTTTCAAGTTCCTTCCAGTTGGTGGAGGGTATTAAAAGTTCGACCCGGCCAAATTTAGCGGTTTTTTACTTCGTTTGTTGAAGTCCACATAGAGGCCACAATGTATAAAATAAATAAAAAAGTTTGTAGGGACTACAGAATTAAGAAGGTAAATTCTTGCAGTTATACGTTTACAATGTTATTGAAATTATTTATCTGACAACATTTCGTTGTCAAATTTTATATTTATAAATCGATTTTGAATACACAAATCAGTCTTCTATGCAGTGAAGTTTGACAAGGTAAATAAAGAAATGCAGAAATGGATATTCTTATAAAAAATTATTTTACTATGGTAGAAGGTACATCTAGGTAGAACTCCTAAAATATTCAGACTTGGTACATCAATATTTCCATCAACACAAGATCTGTTATAAAGATGGTAGAGAACTGACCATTTATTCTAGTATCTCCCCCACAAAGGTTCAATGTTCTCAATAACCGAAACGATCTTAAAATCCGAATTACACACATCTAAATACTTTTATTAACCCAAGGGGATGTATTCTTCTTCTATGATAATATGAAATGAAAAATATTTTCTTTATCAAATGTTTCATTTGACATTTCTTTCCTTTATAGAAGTTTCCATTTCACATTTTCATAATACAAGAATTGAGGCCAAGGTCTGGTGTGAAAATGGTATATATCGGTTCACTCTTTCTGCTCCTTTAAATTTTGAAAATGGAATGCCTCGGTCCGCTATATATGTTACCTCACGCATATTTCCACATTTTCCAAACATGTGCACATATCTCACACAAAGTATAGGAAGTATTCGATATAACCCAAATCTGGCACGTTGTAATACTTATATCAGTCTTAGGTCAGATAAGGATTTGTCAATATTGGCCAACTGCTTCGGAAAGGGTCAACAGTTTAAATAATCATGAATTGTCATTATAATCATTAAAATTTGCATTTAATTATAACATTTCTAAATTTATCAATTAATGTAATAGCAAATTGTTCTTTACTCATTTCATATAAAACATTTTTTTTTTCAACAAAGCATAACATTTTGTACGTGATTGCCTAATACATTACATGTAAACTAGCCCTAAATGAAATAATCGACAACAGTCCAACGCCGTCATTGTGCACAATATTCCTACTGGCGATATCAGTATTTTCCATTGTTTTGTTTTGATTTTTGGTCCTACTTCTTTCATTGCCATTCATTTCATTTTGTGCTGCTCTAATTTGCAAAAAAAATAGTTTCTTTTGCAACACACAGCATCATTATCGCTGCTCACTATTCTCTTTTTGTGTTAATTAACTTGAGAAAGGTCCTAGCATATTACTAATTGATTTTTACGCGCGTTCTTTGTGCTTAGGCATAAAAATATAATCAAAACATTGTTATCTCACAACAAACAAAACGACGAGAAGGGAGAAGGTTGATAGTGGCACTTTACCAAACGCACTCGAAAAATTATCAGTATAAACGGTGAGTACGTACATTTGACTCGCGACACATACATTCGTCTCCTAGCTTACCTGAGATTATCAAAGACACACTACCGTCAGTGTCTCCCTCCGAACACTGACTTGTCTTTTATTTTTGTGGTAAGTGATTCAGTGCCATAACACTTTTTGTCATGCAAACTTCACAACCGCTGCCAAGACGGCGGCGTTACTCTTTAGTTTTTCACAAAATGTATTCGTGCCTAAAGCCCCATTCACATTCTCCCCGTCCACAGATGAACTATGATGGCCTATTGTCACAGTTAACAACGGATGATAAATTGAACTTGTTTCAAGTGGCGTTAACACCGGAAGATGGTGCAATAGAGGAGGAACAGGCTGCCACCATACAATGTGTTAATCCGCGATCTGTTGCATCGTCTTCACATAATGCACCATCAACAACCATCACAACCACTAGTACACAAAATGTAAAAACGGATCAAACAGCAACGCCAACCAGGAAAATCTCGACATCATCCCGCTTTATAAATGCTTTTCAACAATTGTACACAACATCAGCGGCTTCTTCGTGTGTGGCAAGTGCCGCAGACAACGATGAGGCCGAGAGTAGTAATAATGCCGCTGGTCGGACACCAACTAAGGGCATGGAATCAAAACTACTTTCAATGTGGCATAATGTCAAATATGGTTGGAGTGGAAAATTGAAATCGAATTTTTCCAAAGAACAACCAGTTTGGCTACTTGGTCGTTGCTATCATCGTAAGTGTACACCTCCTTCTTCGATGGAAAATAGCTCGGAACTGGGTGGCATGACGGCAATGGGACCAGATCAAGCCAACATGACAATTTCCAATGCATATGACACTATACAGCAAGACACAGGTGGAATTGGTCTAACACCCAACAACAGTTCATCTGCTCTGTATCCTATTCTAAACCCCCAACAAGTGGAAGAAATTGTGGTGCCACAGGAATTGGCCTTGGACGCCACTGACAATCAGGTGGGTGACAATCCCTGGGAAGAGGGCATAGAAGGATTCAAAAGGGATTTCTATAGCCGCGTTTGGATGACATATCGTCGAGAGTTTCCCATAATGAATGGCTCAAATTATACAAGTGATTGTGGTTGGGGTTGTATGTTGCGCAGTGGGCAAATGCTCTTGGCCCAGGCGTTGCTTTGCCATTTTCTAGGACGCAGTAAGTTAAAATAACGTGCTATATTTATTAATTCTAATATTAATGGATTAATTTTAATTTGAATCTTTAGGTTGGCGTTATGACCCCGAATCTCAGTTGCACTCAACACTCGAGGACAATATGCACAAGAAAATAATAAAATGGTTTGGTGATAGTTCATCAAAGAGCAGTCCATTTTCTATACATACATTGGTAAAATTGGGTGAAGAAATGGGCAAGAAACCAGGTGACTGGTATGGCCCAGCATCGGTTTCATATTTACTAAGGTAAGCAACACAAAAGCAATAAATGATAACTGAATTTTCTAAAATGTATACATTTAGACAAGCCCTTAAAAATGCCGCGCAAGAGAATGCTGATTTCGATAATTTAGTTGTATATGTGGCCAAGGATTGTACAAGTAAGTGCAGTGAATTGCGTACTAATTTAATAAAATATTATCTAATCTTACAAATATTTTCAGTTTATATGGGTGACATTGAAGCCGAATGTTGCATACCCGAACCCACGCCCAAGTCCCATGTGCCATGGAAAAAACAGCAAACACCAAAATCAAATGAAATCAAATCCAATTGGAAATCGCTGATTGTATTGGTGCCGTTACGTTTGGGCACAGACAAGTTAAATCCTGTGTATGCTCACTGTTTGAAGTTATTGCTAAGTACCGAATATTGTATTGGTATCATTGGCGGAAGGCCAAAACATTCATTGTATTTTGTGGGCTTTCAAGGTAAATGTCAGAAATTTTTTTGTAAAGAAATGTGTTTTACTAAAATTGTTATATTCTACAGAGGATAAACTAATCCATTTGGATCCACATTATTGTCAAGAAATGGTTGATGTTAATCAGGAAAATTTCCCGCTTCATTCATTCCATTGTAAATCACCGCGTAAATTGAAATCGAGTAAAATGGATCCCAGTTGTTGTATTGGTTTCTATTGTCAAACAAAAACCGATTTTGATAATTTCGTTGAATCGGTGCAACTCGTAAGTTTCACAAATATTTATCTATTTTGCCAAAAAAAAAATCAAATTAATTGTATTCAATTAGTATTTACATCCCATGCGCTGTGCCTCGGGCTCATTGGAAAAACAATTACCTCAACAGCAGCAACAACAACAACAAATGCCTTCTAGCCTGACCAACAGTTTTACAGAAACATCTAATCAATATGCCGAAATGAATTATCCATTATTTTCATTTTCTCGGGGACGTTGTCTTCAACACGAGACGAACCTCAACGAAATGAGCGATTCGCTTTACAAACCATTACAGAAACAATTACAACAATTTAATCAGGATAATGGCCAGCATTCTATGCCAATCGATGATGACAGTGAAACTGAAGAATTTGTATTACTTTAGGTGCAGAATAATTAACGAGAAAAACTAGAAAAAAGAACTCACTTGCAAGCTATGATCAACATTTGCTGATTCTATAACATAAAAACATATATCAATCATGCCATTCAAAAAAAAATATCTACAATAACAATTTTTGTGTTGTTACATTATGTATCTCAAAATTAAAAGACTTATTTTTTTCGCATATACGTATTTGGTATCTAATACAACAAACATTTGTGTAATTCCTTCCTTTACTTTTGTTACAAAAGCTCCTATTGTCTTTTTGTTCAATGCAAACCAATATACATGTATATTTATTTCTTGTTTATTATTATAGACTTTGTTATCATTACTTTATACTACACTGTTTCATTC